TGTGTCTCTTTGTGGTTGTTTGTTGTTTTGTGTCTCTTTGTGGTTGTGTTGTGTTCGGGTTGCCTGAACAGTTTTGAAGAAGTGAATTCAGAACTACCATCTCCTGAGGTCCAGCACTTTTCTATGTTTGACCTCCTCCAGCGAGGCGTGAGAAGGGACATCCTGCAGGTTTCTGCTGGGTCTGTCTGAAGACTTCATCTTCTTGATGCTGATTTTCTTCACGTTACCTGAAATACAGCATCAGTCAGTGGAGTCACTTCATGGTTCCCTCTGTTGATCACCACATATATGTTGTAAACAAACTGATAGTGTTTTTAGTTCAGAGGGCGGGAACTAAATTCAGTTTCATATTGATTGTCATTATTATGTCGACCCAACGTTCTCCTCTTTGTCGTTGTTTTGGTTCGTTTTGTAAAAAGAGAAAAAAGCAAGTTTAGAAGTAGTAGAAGTGAAACCAAAGCATAGTTTACATTCAGTTCTTCCTTCAGTCAGTGGAGGTTAAACGACTACAGAGCACATCAATACAAACTTTGTGTACACATTTAAACATCCACAACATGCTTCTTACTTGTTCTGATTTTTCTGGTGAGCACAGCGTTGAAGTCCGTGGTGTCGATCTCCCAGGCCAGAATGGGTTTACCGTGACCGGAGGACACCTCATCCATGTCGCAGTCCCCGTCTGAGCCCACGTGGGCCCCTCCAGACCGGCCGGCGCCGAGGTCCACCGAGGCTCTGGGCTTCCCCGCGGACGGCCCCTCGTCCTGCCGGTTGGGGACGGCGTCCCCGGTGACGGCGATCGGGGGCCGGTACACGGAGGCGGCCTGGTTGAGGAGAGCATAATCGGAGCAGATGGTGTAGAACTTCTCCCTGGAGTGAGTGACCGGACACGTCCACGGCAGGTGGAGCTCGGCGCCCGAGGCTCTTCTCACTCTGGCGGCGTCCCGGGAGAGGGAGCCCACGAGGCCGCGGTCCTCCTCCCCATCGGTGGGCTGCTGCAGACCCGACGGACCCGACGGCCCGGCGAGGTTCGCTCCTTGACCATCTGAGGTGTTCGGCATCGAACGACAGAATCAGCTGACTGTGGCGTGGAGGTGGAGGCTGTGTTGTCTGATGATGAAAGGACAGACTCAGAGAACATCTCATATGCAGATGAGATGTGTTATTATATTAATAACTGGATCAGCTGATGGCTCGGTGACCGTTAATCTTCCTGGAGTCCACAGGAAGGACAAATTACAGTACATACAATACATAGCACATACATGATGTAAAACATACAGTTATAACAGTACAGTCAGAGACTTGGATGTTTACTATCAGAACTGTAGACATTATGCATCCATAACTTCTTCAGAGAAGAACCAATCATCATCATCATCATCAAAGTCCTGAATGTCGTACTTTGTATCAAATTAAAAAAAAACTAGAAATCATTTGCTCTCTGTTGAACATTAATCAAACACGGATATATGTCACAGACGATGTAATAAAGACCAATAATAGAATAAAATGTCCTGTCTGATGTCATCATACATGTTCTCACTAGTAATGTAATACCTCTCAGGTGTGTCTTTATTTTTAAACTAATGATGTAATGATTTTTAATAGATAATGTATAATATTCATATATCATGCTATTTTAAATGAAATTCTCAAAACACAGAATGTAAAAGAACATAGTATCAGAAGTATCTGACATTTCATTTCAGCGTTGATTTTTATTACATTTTGGTCTTTAATTCACATAGTCTCACTCTTTGTTCAATAATGTAGCATTTTTTTGGAATTATTACATTATAATTGACTTCTAATTAGATTATAATCTTGTAAAATGGTGTCTAATAATGTATTATTATTATTTTATTATTATTAATATTTTATTTTATTTGTATTACACGTTATATGTTGTTTCATTGGTGAACCAGACTGAACGTCAAACATTACCGTCATTGGTGATCTATTGATGACATCACGAGCAGATATCTTCGGGTTGTTGTTATTGATGTTATTGATCACTGACTCACCTGTTTGTTACATGTAAACACGCCCAGCTGTTATTTCATCATCAGACGTCCTCGTACAGCGGGCTGAGGACCCGGATGGTGAACTCTACCGACAGACCGGCACCGGTACGTGACCGTCAGCTCGGTACACGTTAGAATAGCGAAGGATAAATAATAAGAATAAATCCGAGCCGTCGTCCTCCGGACAGACCAGCCTTCACTTCCGGTGCACAGTCAACGGACCGTACCATTCTGAGCAGCAGCAGGAGGGGGTGGAAATATTCAATGCTTCATATTAACGTGAAAACATTGTCAAGTCCAAACGTTATGTGTTGTGTTAAAGATAGGATCTCATGCTATTGTGTGATATTTACTTTAAACGTCACGTGACTTTATTTTAAGGCGTGTCAGTGACGCCTGGATCGATCCAACGGTTCAAACGGTTTTAACCAATCAGAGAGCGGCGGAGGCTCTCTAAACTTCAGACGGAAGGTGAGTCTGTTCTGTTTCTTTAGAGCTTTAAAATATCACGTTTCTGACGTCAGAGGAGACCAGAACCACCGTGGAACCCGTCCGGTCTGGTTCTGACTGTTCACATCCGGTCCCACGTGGAACGGGTTCCTCCTAGGTCCACGTGACGGTCTGCCATTAAGACCTTTTAAACCAGGGGTCTCAAACTCAAGGCCCGCGGTGAATCAAGCCCGTGACGTCATTTTATGTGGCCCGCGAATCCGCGAGCAAAAGAAAATTAAAAAATTTGAAGTTAGACTTGATAACAAAAATATCCACATTGTCGAAGTTATGAGATAGAAAGTCATAACTATGATAGAAAGTTATAATTATGATAGAAAGTCATAACTATGATATAAAGTCATAACTATGATAGAAAGTCATAACTATGATAGAAAGTTATAATTATGATATAAAGTCATAACTATGAGATAGAAAGTCATAACTATGATAGAAAGTCATAACTATGATATAAAGTCATAACTATGATATAAAGT